AAAGCGGATGAGGGAATCGGCACGGGTGTTATGTAAAAAAAAACCTATAAAACTTAAAAAAAAACTATAATATGTCATCTTGCAGACTAGGTAGTTTTTAGTCATTTCACGTTTGCTCACTAGGATCGTTGTGAGCGTCGATCTATGGAGGAATGGCTCAACTACACGTGCACGCATTGTTGGTTGCATATATGTTTTGTGAATCCGAGTAATCTATAGTTTTCATCTCTGAGTCTCTGAGAAGAAAGTTAGTTATTTGGTTGAATAGCAAGATCGCATCTGGATGATTGTGTGTATTGGTCACATGCAGTGTATAAAATCGTTACTAAATATGCTGCCAATGCAGTATATCTATTAGCTGTGCCCGACGGGCTATTTACATGTTGTCCTTTCGGAAGACAGGTTATGTTCAAAGTTGTCTATTACGATTTTTTACGTTTTTTTGTTGTGTTTTCAAAAAATTTGAGGAGAATTACGGGAAATCACCACCGCGTCCACGTTGTGTGTAATTACTGTTAGCATGTATATGACTTGAAATTCGACAGTGTATAGTGCATCTAATTATTTCTTATCTCCCTCATGTTTAGGCAACACATACAACTACAAAACTAGTTAATAAAAGTGTCCATCAGCTAGTGCTAAGTTAACATCTTGTCGAAAAACCTACATAATGTCAAAAAACAGTATACGTCACTTTTGAAGATTCAATCCAAATTCAATAGTCCACGACCTCCCTGATATCTTGGAAAGTATATACGTAGAACTGATGCAAACTTCTATGCATGTTCATCCTTTTTCGGATTTTGATGTCGAGTTATCGCAGCTCGTCCACTGTCCAGTGGACGGACCCGAAAGTGTACAATAACAACAACAATAATAACATTATTATTATTATTCCATTATAGCATGTAACGACTATGCATGATTTGCAAGATATGTCTAACCGGATACGCTTCTATATTATGGACTGATGGATTATAGTGGGCGATCATCGTTACTGTAAGACGGAAGCCGCGAAATTTGAAAAAATAGTATCATTTTTGATCATACGCGACTTATGTGATATTTATTGAGCAAATGAAGATAAATGTGAAAGCTAAATTCGTCTAACACATCTATTTTTTTATTCTCTGCTTGAAGTATTCCACTCTGTATTGATCGAAGAAAGCAGCGCAAGTGGCAATTTATCGTTCGAACGTGATATCGTTGTGCATACGGAAGTTAGTTTATCTGACCTCTGATAGACGATTCATCTCTTGCTTATCAATGACCGCTCATTATGTAATGATTGCTTTAATTAACAATTGTCCCAATTAATGTCTCGTTTACTGACAGGCGGCTTTGTCTTCCTCATTACGTATCAATTGATATACAAACTTTTTATCCCGTCCATTCTTCTAATGTATCTGACATTTCACTGTATGCAAATGAATCTAATCTGGAATGATGCTTAGCCTTGTCAATACTCCAAGCTAAATCAGTTCTAAGACCAGAAAAATGCCTAACAGGCTGATTGGTATAGTATTAAGAACAAGCCTAGACCCCTCTAGACACAACTAATAAAAATATAGCAGGGTGTTATAGGTTTGAAATATTAATAATAAATATTTTGATAATATATAGTAGAAAACACCAACTTTATTACTCCCTAATCAAATTTGCAGCGTAAAAATAACACATGTTGCAATTACAGCATATCAACCTATTTTTATTTCAATGCAAAATAAGTCTATAACGCATAGGTGGCTGTGAAAAATAAAAGCCATGACAATTGTTTTTATTAATCACAGCTGTCAGAATACGTTTAAAATAGTTTTGGGTAGTTAAGGTTTTCAAAATGGGTAGAGGAAAGGTTATTAGTGAGAAAATTCGGTTACTCAAAAATTGCAACTTTGTTAGACTTATCGCGGTACAGTGTGAGAAATATTTTTAGAAGATATAACGTAACTGGTTCAGTTAATATTATGCCACGATATGTGAAAAAAACCGAAGAGCATTAAGAAGAATAATCATGAAAAACAGGCGTGGCAATTATTTACAATTAAGTGCTCTGTGGAGTGACGCTGTTGGAAGGAGAATTTCGAGGTCCACAACTCATAGAGAGATGAAAAAGGTTCTACGAGAACATCCTGATCGTACAATCACCGAACTGAGACAAAAGCTTCAAGAAATATGGAATTGTTTTACACCAAATTTTTGCCAAAACTTAGTTAACACTATGCCCCAAAGAATTTCAGCCGTAGTAAAAAATAAAGGTGATGTTACCTAATGGTAATCTTTCAATTGTTGCTTTGTTAACTTCGCGCATTTATTCGCACATTGTTTTCTGTTCAGATGTTCTATTAGTTATAGGTCTAAGTGATTTCAAATATGTATTTTTTACGACTAGAGTATATCTAAAATGTTTTTGAGAAAATAAATTGTTTTAGAAGTAAATGGTTTCGTCATGTTTAGTTTATAAAGGCATATTTTAGTACAAATCTTGAAGTGGGCCAACTGAATTGGGAAGGGGCTCGTAGATGCTTATATGAAAAAAATTTCTAAAAAAAAATAGCGGCAAAATATGTTTTCCGTGAGTCACGATAAGACTTTAAAGAAACTTGTTTGAGTTCCATAATGTTCTTGAATATCCCTGAAACAATCAGAAACGAGGAAAGCAAATTTTCGAGGTTTCTAAGAATTGCAATCTCTCCACAAAGGTAATTGATTACCCTCAAAAATTCCCCAACCAAGTACGTGGTTTGGGGAGAATTCGAATGCAACAACTTTGGGGATCCCAGATTACTGACAAAAGAGAAGAGTTCCTTGAGCGCCTTGTCATAGCAAACAATAGTCAAGCCAACTTTTGTGATAACCTGATTGGTAAAAACAAAAACTGGAAAGTACTCGATGATGAAAACCTGAGCGACCATAAATAAATTCTGTTTGAAATAACAACTGTCAAACATGACAGAGCATGGACACATAAGATAAGGTAGAAGACAAATGGAGCTAAATTACAATCATTCCCCGGAAATCTGCAGTGGAACACAAAATTTGATGGTTACAAAAGCAAAATTGAGATGCTGGAGGATGTGACAAAAATGGTAAAGTGAGGGAAGCAAAGTATTGGTGGAATAATGAAATAGCACAAAAAAGAAAATAATGCCTAACTATCAAACGTAGAATATAAGAGAAAATAGAAAGTACCATATAGCAAATGGAACAAGGAATAACGTTCTGATGCTCAAGTGCAAAAGACAACATCAATATGCTAAAAAAGAACTAGAAAAGCTCATAGTGAACTCTAAACAGAGGACGTGGAAAGTAATTAAATGACTTAGAAAACGACGTTTGGGTCAAGCATACAAGATAGCCATGCAAAATCTAAAACTCACAGACACACCGTACCTGGATACTGAACAGCAAATACAGATTGCCGAGGGATTGTTTCCGAAGTACTCACACACCGAAAGGAAATTCGCGGAAACTCTGGACGTACCAGAGTTCACCATGAGTGCGCTGGAAGAAGCGACAATGCACTTGAAAACAGGTAAGGCGCCAGGACTAGACCAAATATCTAACGAAATCGTGAAAGAGCTCGTTAAAGAGATACCCGAAAACGTGCTGTCTGATGAAGAATAATACTGCTGGTGGTGGCTGGTATCCCGCCAATTGATTTGCGGACAGATGTGCGCTCTATAAAATTGCCTCGGAGCTACAAGCGACGAAAGAGAGGAGCCTTTTGTCAGACGGCAGGAGAGATGGGATGCATGAACCAGAAGGCTGACCCCAAATATTTAAACATAGGTTGACAAGCGAGCGGTGCAGATAGATTACTATGCTGCACAGTTGCTCACAGGGCACGGTTGTTGTGACAGCTACCTGAAGAGAGTAGGAAAGAGAGAGTTCACGAATTGCGTATATTGCTATAAAGACGAGGATACTCCTAATCACCTACTCCAATGTGGTCGATGGATTGACTACCAGACACAGCTAGAACTAACGGCACACGTGACCTTAGGGCCGTAGTCATTCCTACAATTATTGTAGGACGCCTTCATGTCCTCCTTGATTTTCATAGTATTTTCTCTCCTTCAGAAACGCTGGGGTATTTCTAGATTTCTACTGTTCCGTGTCAGCGTCAACGCTATTGTGAGGTTATGTTTCCTTTTTGAGTGTTAAGATTCAGGCTGATAACAGATGATAAAGATCAAGTTTTATCAGCCTGAAATTTGTTAGACTTCAAAAAGAAAACACAACCTCAAAATAGAGCTATGACACGGAACAGTGGAAATCTAGAAATACCCCTGCCTTTCTGAAGAACATTGTAGGACGCCTTTTTGGCCTCCTTGATTTTCATAGCCTTTTCTCTCCTTCATAAAGGCTGGGGTATTTCTAGAGAGCGATAGTGCTCTCCTATTGTGAAGTTATGTTTTCTTTTTGAATTTTAGGAATTTTCAAGCTGACAAAACAGGTAAATCAAAAGCATGAACAATTTAAAGCAAATAGATGTTTGAGACATAACCTCAAAATACAGCGCTGACGCGGAACAGTAGAAAAATCAAGGGAGGCATAAAGGATTTCTACAATTGTAGGAACGATTGACCATACGGCCCTTAGTCTTACAAAACACAACGAACAATATATTGACGACTGTACCACATCAAAAATAATGGGATCGTCTTCGTCTATGGGTTAATTAGAGAACTGTAGTTTAACAGCAATATCTAAGTTACTTTGTTTAATAGTAACGCGAGCTATTACTTATGAAACGAGACATAAACGCTAGGCCGCAGAAAACGCAGCGTGCACCATACTGAGGGCCGTAGAAGTAATATTACCACATCAAAAATAATAGGATGAATTAATCATAACCTGACGAACGAATTTACGGTTAGTTGTCACTTAACTTTCAGGTCAGAGCTAGAGAGATTTCTTGGAGTTGACATAAATGAGGAGAAGATATTTATTCAGGGATTGAGTTTTAATCCGTTTAACTTTGGATAATAAAAATAAAGTTGAGATTTACTTAAACTTTTATTGTAAAGTTATAAAATATATAATGAAACAGCAATATTTTGAGCTTCAACAGGTACGATATTTTTAAGTGCTTGCGTTCGTAACATATCACAACAGAAAGCTATTCCAAACTCACAGCCGGAGTTTAGTCAAATAATAAAATTTTCAATGGCTATTGGCGCAAAGTATAATGTCGCTTTATTACATACTAACGACCATAATGTTTCAGAGTATTGAATAATTATATGACCTCTGACCGTTATTACAGTCTATAGATTTATCTGAATTTTCTATTAACCTACCTTTATCGTCGTCTTGCCTGACGTTATTGAAGTTATTGCTTGCTTTGGTATAGGTTAAATTACCGTTTTGAACTGCAACAGAAAATAAATCAAAATAGCAATTTTAGTGAAATTGATGGATTAAGAACTAAACAATGCTTTTATTGACATAATAATCTTCATTAATGCTCTGACAGTTAGTTTTCAAACTTGAGTCATTTATTTTAAAAGCGTGTAGAACTCGTCAAAAGATGTTGATATACAAAAAATCACCTATATAAAATTTGCATAATAAGAGCTAGTTTACTGAAAACCATACAATAACACAAAAAGTTTGCCAAATTTAGTTAAACTATAAGAGTAGTAAACCAAAAACACTAAGATTTCACACGATAGTGGCAGAGAATATCAAAAAATCTGTGTAATAACATTCTTATTTTCTTAAGTTTTTAATCTTTTACTATTTCTTTTATTATGCAACTTTTATATAAACTCCTTTTGACGAGTCCTACAAGCAGTTAAAATAAATAACTCAACTTTGAAGACACCCTGTATAGTTTAGCTAATAGTGTTTTAATGTAGATAAAAGTACCAAAATAAAAGACATTGGCGTAAAGCATTATCATACCCGCAGACACGTACACAAAGTAAGTGGCGTCCAATAAATTATACTCCTCTCTCCTGTTATGGTACTTGACTATAGTAACGCAACAAATCAGTACTCAACATATCCAACACGTTTCTCGATGTAAGATGTTCAGAATCTTTTACAACTTTAATTATAAAATTTCAAAATATATCTTTCGATGACTATAGATTACTAGAACCGCTCAATTTGTGATGTCTGTGGATGATTTACGAGGGCGGTCCGATAATTACTTGCCTCACCTCCCGATGGCGCCACTATCGCGAGAGAAATTTGCTACTTTTTTATATATATATCGAAGCAGCCGCGCAGGCAGAAGCCGGAACTCCGCGGTTGCTATGATGATCCCAGAGAAATTATGTTAATACGATTTTTGAACTGCCTAAGGTTAGTAGAACTGGGAAAAGCTTCCTCTTGTAGATTGTTCCACAATCTCGACACCGTCGGGTCAAAGGAGCGGTCGTATCGGCAAGTTCTGGATGTACGAAGTTCGACACGGTTAGGATGAGACGCCAAAGTCAGGCGGGTCTGTCTGGCAGGCACATCGCGTGGCGGCATCATGGAAGAGAGCTCTGAGGAGCAAAGCCCGTTGGTGAACGGAAGAAAAGAGCTAGATCGCCGACGGCCCGCCGTTGCGAAAGAATCCCGAGACTGTCTGTTAGAGAAGAGACATCGATCAGTCGGGCCGCCCTCTTCTGGACAGCGTCGAGCATAAATAATTTTGTCGGGGCAGCAGCACCCCAAACGTGTGAGTAATACTCGAGGCTAGGCCTTATCTGGGCCTTGTATAGAGTGAGAAAGTCTTAGCCCTAAACAAATAGCCCAGCTTTTTCCCAGCAGCTGTCGCCATTGACGATATGTGTTGGTGCCAAATCAGGTCCTCGGTGATCTGGACTCCGACCAGCCGAAATGAATGGCTCTTTGGCAGAAGTCGGCCATCCATCGAAACCGGATGAGCGCTAGGGACGCTTTTTGTTCGTCAAAGTACAGTACGGTGCTTTGGAAACATTAATCTGTACAAGATTATTGCGTACCCAAGCAGTTTCAGCCTCCAGGTCTTTTGTCAGAAAGGAAGTCGTCGCTAGTCTTCTTTTTTCCAGCTCAGCGGCAGAGATCGGCTTGTCACTCTGAATTGCTGCATGTAGAGTGCTGCCATGAGCGAAGCTGTGGATTGGGCTGGTCGTGCAGGAAAGGAGGTCGTTGATATGTAAGAAGAACAGTGTCGGAGCCAAGACCGATCCTTGGGGAACACCCACATGAAGAGGAGAACCCGTCAATTACAACGGATATCTTGGCCAGAGAGAAAGTGACCCATGTGCAAAGTTTCTCTGGGAGGCCATAGGATGGAAGTTTGCTTAAGAGGGCAGCGTGCCACAGCTGATCGAACGCTTTCGTGATGTCAAAAGCAACGACATGGGTCTCACCATAAGACTGGATGAGTTTACTCCACAATTGCGTGACGTAAGTTAGGAGGTCCCTGTGGATCGCTGGTGCCGGAAACCATACTGCCTGTCGCTAATCAAGCCGTGACGTTCGAGGTAGTCCAGAAGCTCGGGATTTATGCACCTGTCCATCACCTTACTTATAACAGAAAGCAGATCTATAGGCCTGTAGTTGTAAGGGTCGGTCTTAGATCCTTTTTTTGGGATGAGTTGGACATGAGCAAATTTCCAGTTTTCTGGGAAGGTGCTGGATTCATAAGATATCTGGAAGAGACGCGAAAGAACTGGAGCAAGCTCCGCTGCACACCTCTTCAGTACAATGGAAGGAATCAAGTCCGGACCAGAAGCTTTGTTGATGTCGTGCGACAAGAGCACTCGTCTTACGGTCTTATGCCTGAATGTTACTTCCCGCATAGTATAGGGAACCCTTTGAATTGACGGTACTTGGGCGTTGGGGGGACGTCCATGGTGGAGTTGGCAGCAAAGATCTTGGCAAGCACTTCCGCCTTGGCCTTTGAGTCGGATACAATCGTTCCATCCTGACACGTAAGTGGTGGAAGGCTACTGTGTGAGAAGTTCTTTTCCATCTGCTTGGCCAGCGTCCAGAAAGACCGACTGCCATTGCGCTGCGACATTGCGCTGTGCCTAACTCTAATATCGTGCTGGTTTTTGGCATTGCGAACCGCTTCGTTATATTTGTTTCTGGACTCGCTATAACGTATGGTTTTATTAAAATTCCTATTATTATTGACCTTTTGGTAACACCATTGGCAAAACTGTAAGCGAGGTAGAAAGTATCTTGGTAATAATGCTTGCACACGTTGGACATGATAGGGATTCATAAGTTGCTCGGAGAGAACCCGCCACCAAGTGCTATTGGAATAATTTCTCCCTAGTCTAGTTGTTATAGTCCTGGTACTGATCCCAGGAAAAGTTGCAATAACACTCTTTGCTAGATTTTTTTTATTTTTTGTTTTCCAAACACTTTTTTAGCAAAAATTAATTAACCAATTTTGTCCAGTGACATGCAATAAAACGGTTTTTTTTTTCTCGAAAATGAAGTGAGACACGAAAAAAATACAAGAGGCAAATAAGTTGTCTTTTTAGATGCTTAATCAAACAACAAAGATTATTAAGGTACAAAAAAGGCAGTGACATAAATTTTTTGCCAATATTATTCGCTATAAATATAATAATAAAAAAATTGTCTAATTTATCATCCTGTATCTTACGAACTCTGCACTTCCGGACCTATGCTCATAGAAACTTTTTTCTTATTTTTCAACAAGCAATCACCCTCTAAAATATCTCTGTCTATTTTTCGAACATCGTGTTCCTCATTAGAACAAAGGTTTAAACTCACCTGTGACCTTTTTATCTATCGAAACGCACTTAATAGTGAACATGGCAGCCGCTCCCACCAAAGGCGGTATACCGGCGAGTAGGAGGGGCAACTGGTAGTCTCCGCCTCTAGCATCCAATAGTACTCCCGCGATGTATGGACCAATGGTGAGAGGGATGGAACAGATGCCCAGTAGCATCCCGATAGCTTGAGTCGCTCCTTGTCGTCCGCACAGGTCGAACGCTATCGGCCCTAAAAATCAAAAATATGAACAAAAATTGTAGAACATACCATTGGCACATTGGGCTATCTGATATTCCGCTGAGATTTTTCGAAAGCTACTTGGCTGATAGAAAGCAGGTAGTTAAGAAGGTTAGGGGAGTTACTTTCATCTGGCATTCCGCAGGGGTCAGTTCTGGGGCATCTGCTATATTTGATTTACACTATTGATTTGCACTCATGTGTGTAATTTTGTTTTATACAAACGTATGCTCATGACACACAATTATCATTTCACTTTAAATATTCTCAGTTAAATGGAGTTTCGTTTAGAATACTGTCTCGGGAGCAATCCTAAATTTTACGATGCCAGTCCGCTATTCACCTACCTAAATGCGCAACTTTGCCTTCATAAACGATTTTGTATTGTATTGCCTACCTTTTCCGAATTTCAAATTCCTAGTGCATATACAGGGTATCCCAGAAATAACAATCCAGAATGACAAGGGAAGTAGATAGGGTTCAGATAAAATCAACATGACCTTAGTAAAAGTTTTCTAGTTTTCGAGATATTGCCACTTTTAACATTTTCAAAAGATCCCTACTTTTTGCTCCTTTTTTGCCTGTTATGGCTTTAAAGAACTGCTGGGTTATAATTTGTTTTCCTGGGCTACCATCAATAGTTGGTTTAGTCAACCGAGTATTCATTTCATAAAAAACTAGCACGGTATGCCAAAAAAAAATTATTACATTTGGTTTTAATGCGAAAACCTTTACTGAAGTTTTACTAATTACCATAAAAAATGTACCAAACTGAATCAGCAAATAACCTTGAAAAAATAACTATTTAATGCTCTTTCAAAAATAGTATAACATTTTTAGGTTATTTTGACTAGAAACTGAATAATTCCAAGTTTTGTCATTGAAGTCGTAATACTTGCGAAATACTACAAATAAGAAATGATAAATGCAGCTGTCTTTTGTGTCCAAGTTACAACTTTGTAGTTACTGTAATCGCTTTTTATTTCAGCAAATGTCTTAAACTGCTATTCATTATCCTTTTTTATTCATTGTTGTATGCAGGCATCAAAATAATGAACAGGACATTAGGTTGTATATTTTTCATTTCCACTGATTTTTACAACATTCATGTGGTATCTGCGCAACGCGATTACAGCAACTGCAGAGTTGTAACACAAAAGACAGCTGCGTTTAATACATTTTATTTGTAGTATTTCGCAAGTATTACGACTTCAATGACAAAACTTGGAATTATTCAGTTTTTAGTAAAAAGAACCTACAAATGTTATTCGCTGATTCAATCTAGTACATTTTTTTCAGTAATTAGTAAAACTATAGAGGTTTTTGCATTGAAACCAAATGTAATAATTTGTTTTCTTTTTAGCATACCTTGCTAATTTTCAATGAAATAGATACTCGGTTGTCTCATTACTACTACTATTAATGGTAGCAGCCATAACAGGCAAAAAAGAGCAACAAGTAGGGATTTTTTGAAAAAACTTAAAAGTGGCAATATCTCGAAAACCAGAAAACGTTTACTAAGGTCATGTTGATTTTATCTGATCGATTTGAAGCCAATGTACCTCCCGTGTCATTCTGGCGTGTTATTTCTGTATACAGGGTTATCCAAATTAAGTGTCCACCATTAGTAACTTTGTTATTAGTGAAAATACAAAGTTGTTTGAATTAGCAAACTAGTAGCATTTTTAACGCTGGTAAAAATGAGAAATAAAAAAAAACAATTGAGAGTCGTTATTTTGATTTTTTTCAGTAAAATAACATTTTTTTAAATGGAAACCCCTGTATATTATATTTTTTTCTGTTAAAGCATCAAATTTTAAACAAAAAAGCTTACAATAACTTTTCTCCTAGGTTACAAATTGTTGAAGTTATGGCCTCCAATCTGAAACAATTAAATTGTATCGACAAACTTTATTTTCAACATCAACTTATAATCTTACAAAATACAGTAACAATTTTTTTTAAAGAAGATGCTCGAAAACACCACCTTGTTCTTCAATACATTTTTGGGCACGTTTTTCAACTGCTCGAACTGTCTTAAGTATGGTCCTACCATCTATCTGGGTTATCTTTTCCCTAACTGCAGTCTTTAACGCGTCAAGGTTATCGTACCTTCGCTTGTAAATTTGGTTCTTTAAGTAACCCCACAAGAAGTAATCAAGTGGGTTTAGATCTGGTGATCTGGGAGGCCACTGTATTGGGCCATTTGTTCCTATCCACTGATCATTAAAAGTAGTACTTAGAAAATGATAAGTACCTCTGGAGTTGTGGGCAGGTGCGCCATCTTGCTGAAAACGCAGATGATGTCTACTTATAAGATCCAATTCGTCTAAGAAATTAGTCAGAATTTCTGACATAAATTCCACATATCTTTCACCAGTTAGGGTTCCCTCATAAAAGAACGGGCCAACAATTTTTGAACCAATTATACCGCACCAAACGTTGAAACTGAAACGGACTTGTGGGCCTCTTGGATGTACTAACAAAAGATTTTCTCTTGACCAATAATGGTGGTTTTTTCTATTAAACATTCCAGAATTTGAAAAATTTGATTCATCTGTCCATAAAAGGTAACGAAAGTTATTTACATTTTGGCGACAGAAGCTAAGATACCAATGGCAAAAAAACAAGTCTTCTCTCTGGATCCCCTGCCAAAAGCGTTTGAACTGGTCGGTACTTATACGGAATAAATTTGTATTTTTTTAAAATCCTTTGAACAGTACCATAACTGAAATTAGAGTCCTTGAGAATATCTGCTATTGAATTCTCACGATAAGCTTCAAAATATCCAATAACTGCAATTTCCGTGGCCTCGCTTATTATGAATTCTTTTTTTGCCCTTGTTTTAGCAAAAACATTTTCGTTGCCCCTAAATTTTCGATAAAGTCTCAGAAAATATCGTTCATACGGTTGAATGCGAGCGGGATATAATTCACTGTAGTATTCTCTTGCTCTCAAGGAGGATTTTCTGCACACTAAATAGCATTCTAACATATCACACTTTTCTTCATGGGAGAACATTTTTCTTTAAATTAATGACACAATAAAGCTTATAAACAAGTATTTACACTAATGTTTGACATTATTTGATTTTATCATTGTTTTCCAAAGCCTTCTAGTTGCGAGTATGTCCAGTTTAACAATTTGTCGCTTATCTTAATGCTGTCAAATCGCGAACGCCATGTTGTTTTCATAGCCGTCTTAATATTATAATACTGCAAATAATTAAAAATATTTATCGTTATTTTGACTTTATTTTTGACTTTAGCGGAAAAGTCATTATGAACTTTTTTGTTTAAAATTTGATGCTTTAACAGAAAAAAATATAATATACAGGGGTTTCCATTTAAAAAAATGTTATTTTACTGAAAAAAATCAAAATAACGACTCTCAATTGTTTTTTTTTTATTTATCATTTTTACCAGCGTTAAAAATGCTACTAGTTTGCTAATTTAAACAACTTTGTATTTTTACTAATAACAAAGTTACCAATGGTGGACACTTAATTTGGATAACCCTGTATAGTGCTTTTAGCAAAACTTAAGATTCTACGCAGATTTCAAGTAATCCTAGTAATTTCTCATGTAATACATATTAGCTCAGCTTGGGGAGATGGACAACACAGTCATAGTTAATTTTTATAAAAAAAAGTTCATTTAATTTCGTTGGGCTTGAGAAACTAGAATATGTACAGCGACAACAAAAATAGTAATTAAAGTGAATGTTTTCAATGAAAAGTGAGTAAAAGTAAGATGGATCAAAAGTGAGAAAAAGTGAGTCGCCAGCATCCCTGCTATTCAAAAAGCACCTAAAAACCTGTTCATACGGGTGCCAGATTTTATAGTTTGAGATTGTTTGCTATACTTAAAAAATATACTGTATTTACCTAGTAAAGAAATAAAACATCCGTCAAATATACCCATACCCAGGGTAATAACAACTAGCCAGCCATAATATCCTGCAGAAAATGGCAGTAGGATTGTAAGTATTCCTATGCTAAAAAAACTAAGTTGCTGAAGGTATATTCTGTTGACGCCCTTCAAATCTGCTATGTATCCAAACACGAGTCTTCCAAGACCCGACGTTACGCCGATACATAAAATGGGGAGCTTTGTGTCACTACCTGGAAAAAAATCATGCAAATTTTAAATGCTTTGATGTCGTTAGTATTGATTTCAGAATAATTTTACAATTAAAATTTGAAAACAGTTTTTTCTTCAATAACTCCTGAACGGCAATTTTAAATTCAGTGGAATGTGTATAAATGGATAACAGAATGACATGTAAATAGAAAGAAAAATATCAATGCTCTGTGGAGTTTCCATTTTTGAAGCTGCTCACTAGGGTGTCCCAGCCTATCAGGCAAAAAAAACATTTGAGATACGTATATCCTCTAATTTTTTTCTAATTGACTCTAACAACTCAAAAAATAAATATTATTGCGATGGGGGAACGATAAACCGTGCAGACTTTCGGTCAAACTTTGAATTTGAAAGTTAATACAGAAACGATGAATGGATTTCAAAACCAAATTCTTATTCGACAAATAAAACTGCTTTATTTGTATCTTATATTTCTTTGATATTTATAATTAAAAGAACATTATTTACTAATTTTTTTCCAAAGTTTTTTTTACAGTCAGGATATACCCGCCTTTGTTCTTATACGCAACGTAATGAAAATAGTTTTTTTCCTCATCAGCAGTGATTAAGCCATGGAAGTCTTGCATTAACTGGACTGCTCCTTCTGTCGTATCGTTAACTGCTCTCAGTGTTTGCACCTTATTCTCAGCATGTTGAAAAGAATCATTATGTGGCTATGATGTTGGACCTTCGTCGAGAAAACTGTCATCAATTTTGAGTTGACTGAACAAGGACTTGCTTTTGATTGAAACAAAGTCATCGATATTTTTCTCTGAAATGAAAAAACGAAGAATAGCTACCATCTAAACATACTTGTTTTGTCCGTCCGACCACAAACAGACAACCATGTACAGATATTTTGTGGTTTTTGGCAATTTATCATCATAGTGTAGGCTTGGCCTCAGGTTAAGGCAACGAACGAAAGCGTTTGCTAATAGAAAAAACAAGCACTGCAACACGATATCTTGCGCGCGCAATATCCAAGTTTTGACATGTTCCAACGCAACTAGGCACGGGTTGCCCTGGTTCTGGCACATAACACTTTATTTACAATTGTTTTGACATTGTTCAAGCAGAATTAGAGGGTGTGCGTTTGAAAAAAGAACTTTAATTTTTCTGGGACACCCTACTGCTCACTTTCTATTTTGATATGTCCATGATTAAGGGTCTTGCGCGAGTTCTTAGCACGCTTATGTTCGTAGATCAGAAGCATTGTTACTTTAAAAAGCGTACCTTCAGCAAAGTTGGCTTCGACGAACTTCAGCATGTATACGTATGGCACGAAATACCCGAAAAGTGAGATGGCTATGCCTAGTGTCCAAACCACATATCTAGAGTTGGTGATGACATCCACGTTGAAAGCGTCACGCAGCGTTGGACGCTTGGTGGGACTGGTGGTCAGACGCACTGGCTTGAATAGGAACGCACATAGCATGATCAGACCGGATATGGCTGACAGGATACGCAGAGTCCACACTATCTGAAACATAATCACAAGTTGAGACTTTCCTTTAAGCGGCGCATAGTTTTTCAGTAATACAAAGTAGGATATTAAGGTAACCCGGATATAATAATAATAATACAAAGTGATATAGATATAATCATTCTATCCGAAACATGGCAAGTGGGCGATGTGACTCTGTTTCATTTAGAAGGGTACGATATATTGTATAATTTTGGTAACCATAATCAAAACGATGGAGTGATGGTGTATGTACGAAACAATCTGCCTTATAACCATACCATATTTACAATCAACAATGAACTAAAAGGTATCAATCTAACAATGCAAATTGAAAATCGTAGAGTCAAAATTACTTGTGTTTACCGACCACCATCTTCAGATCCTCATACATTTATAAGAGACATAGATGAACTATTAAAAAACAATGAAAACAATCACCTTCATAATCAAATATTTATAGGCGACATCAATATAAACATTTTAGAGGAAAATTCTATGGTGAAAGAATATTTAAACATTTTATCAAGTAATGGTTTTTTATCATACATAAATAAAGTAACACGACCGACCCTCCAGTAAAACCTGCATTGATCACTGCTTTATAAAGGATATTTCCAATATTTTTTCTTACATGCCTATTATCTATGAAACCGATATTACAGATCATTATTCCACTGTATTATTGATATCTTCACAAAATAAAAACCAGAACTGCCCAAGGGCAAAAAATGAAAGAAACCTTGAATACAAATATTTCACTGACAACTCAAAATTAATATTTAACGCACAAACGGAATCGTGGGACGAAATTTTTTTAACAAATTCTTTAGACGAAGCTACAAATTTATTAATACACAAAATTCAAAAAGTAATTGAAGTTAGTACTAATAAGGTTAAAATAAGTCACAAGGAAAAAAGCAGAAATGATTGGATGACCAAAGGACTAATAAAATCTGCAAACGAAAAAGAAAGACTGTATAAAATCATGAAATATTTACCCACGAAAGAAAATATAGATCATTATAATCAGTATAAAAACAAATTTATAGAACTTTTGAGAAAAGCAAAAAAAAAATTACTATATAAAACAATTGAATAATAATTCACATGACTCTAGACACCTATGGTCCACTGTCAATGATATATTCAATAAGTCATCCTATTCAAAAAACAATATTAATGAAATAAAAACAAAAACAGGACAGAAAACAGACAATATTCAGCAAATATGTGATGAGTTCATAGAATTTTTCACGAATATAGGAGGAAACTTAGCAAATAATATCAAACAAAATGCTGATATTCATCTGCATGAAACAAGACTGAATAATTCATTTGTATTAACTGAAGTAGACTATCAGGATGTTTTCAATGCCATTATGACTCTAAAAATAAAAAAAGCGCTGGAGTTGACGAAATTAGAGCTGAACATCTAAAGATACTGGCCAAACAAATAACAGAACCACTTGCTTATATCATTAACAAATCCTTCCAATCTGGAGTATTCCCATCAGCTTTCAAGACAGCAATCATCATACCTATCTATAAATCTAATGATAATACGGACGTCACTAACTATCGACCTATTTCACTTATATCAAGTTTGACTAAGGTTTTTGAGAAATTACTCCTTAATAAAATGATTGATTTTCTTAATAAATTCAAAATTCTAAATTCAAATCAATATGGTTTTATAGCGGGCAAATCTACAACAGATGGGGTATTAAGTATAGTAGATGAAATAACCCAAAATATAGATGGAAAAGTACCATCGATATGCGTATTTGTGGACTTACAAAAAGCGTTTGACACAGTTAACCACAATATACTTTTAGAAATCTTAGAAAGAATAGGTTTTCGTGGAAAGATGTATACTTTAATGGAAAATTATTTATCAAATAGACCGCAATCAGTAAAATTATTAAGCTCGTATAGTAAAGAAATGTTTGTTAAATGTGGTGTTCCACAAGGTACAATTTTTGGTCCTCTGTTATTCAATATTTATTTAAACGATATATTCAAAATTAACAGTACTGGTAAAATAGTCAGTTTTGCAGACGATACTGTTATACTCTATAAAGGTAAGGATTGAAACGACTTAAAAGATATTATCCAAAATGACTTTTGCAAAATTATTCAGTGGTTTAATAACCGAAAATTAACAATTAACTTTACTAAAACTCATTTTTTACCATTTTCCTGTATATAGCTAAAATTGTATGAACATTTACCAAATAATTTAAAACAATTACGCAATACATTAGGCTTCAAAAAAAAATTAAAAAAATTTATTAACACGATTGGGAGAAATCAAATTAATAAAATAATCTCAAATATTACACAATAAATGCTCTACCATTCTTACCAATAATTTCTTTTTTCTCTCTATTTTATTATACTTTGCAATTCAACATACATATGATCCATGCACAGGCGTTGTCTTCCTATGGATATATTATATTTATTTACTCGTTTCATGTTTTTAGAGTAAATAAATATTATTATTATTATTATTATTATTATTATTATTATTATTATTACGAAAACCTACTATATCAAGTCAGCATCGTGTAGATCAGGGCTGTCCAACTTAATGTGGCCCAAGGGCCACTTTAAAAAAATGCAATTTGGAGGGCCGCATTATAAAATCTTTCTATACAACATGATTACTGAGTTTTAATAGGTATATACTATACTACATGGTATACAAAAATAGTTTTTCTATTATTTTTATTTATTCAAAAAATATGAAATTACAAAAAAATCAGTGGGACATTTGAGGATGTTGGTTTTCTAATACTCTTGCATCAATATTAACATTAATATTTGTTGTTGATAAACGAAGTAACTGAGTAAGTGACTTATCAGAGAGGGAACATCTATACTTTGACTTGATAAATTTCATGTTGCAAAAGCTGCTTTCGCAAAGATACGTGCTTCCCATCATTGATCCTATTGTAAGTCCTAAGTTTCGCAAGTTGGGGTATCGTTCTCCTGGCAGTAACTTAAAAAAGTCCAAGCCAGTTTCAGTTCTTCCTTGGTAAAAAGGATCTGATTGCAAATCACACAATTCCAGTTGAAGGTCTGCTCTGCTTACGTTCTCAACAGAAATTGTTAGTGGCTGGGTAAAAACTGAAATGTCGCTTTCGATTTTTTTAAAGTCACTAAATCGATTTTTGAATTCTTCTGCAATTGTGTCAATGTATTTTATATGAGGTAAATATGAAACTTCCCCAAAATCCTTCATTTCTTCGAAATGTTCTTTACAACTTGGAAAAAATGGAAAATAATTTTTTTTGTAATGAAGACTTGAAAAGCTTAATTTTATTCTTAAACCCATTTATGTGTCCAAATAAGTTGGCAATATTCTGCTGTTTTCCTTGTAGCTTCAAATTCAATTCGTTAAGATGAGATGTCATGTCTGTTAAAAATGCAAGGTCTGCTAAAAATTGTGTATCTGCCATTTGACTTTCCAGTTCCGTAGTGTCGGACTTCACTTCATTTTTAAGGAAAATAGGAATTTTCTTGTGTAGAGCGAAAAATCATTGCAGACACTTTCCGGCGCTTAACCAACGAACATCGGTGTGAAGTAACAAGTCCCCATATGTAGCGTCCACTTCGGCCAAAAAATCACGAAACTTTCTGTGAGTCAAAGCACGATTGTCCCCTCTAACAATATTAGTTATTTTAACAGCCCCTTTCATGACATTTATTTGACGTAAAGATTTTCCACATAAGCTCTCTTGGTGAACAATACAATGTATCATAGGACAGTTGATGCTGTTTTGTTTCAATAGTCCTGCAAATCCAATTTCAGTCCCTGTCATAGCTCTGGCGCCATCAGTGACAATACAGGAACATTTATCAAATCCCCCGTAGTCTTTACATTTTTCAACCACGTCACGCAATTTTTTGGAAACCTGTTCATTGATATGCAATTTTTTGATGCGATACTGAGAATATTTCAAATTTTTCGGCAACTTTTAATTCATTGAATTGTTTCGCCATTTCTATTGCACACTTTTTGATAAGCACTCCAACACTAAAAGCTTTTTTTGCTTTGGCGATTTCCAGCGCTATTTTGTAAGAGGCGGCAATACTGCACTTGTTATGAGTCAGATTTTTTGAAAAAACTTGTTTGTTGTTTTAGTTTTTTCTTGTATTCCGTTATGATAGCCTGCCTCGAGTCCCCTGAATATTACCGAAACGTTTTCTCGTGTGACGTAGTATAATGTCGTTTCATATTATATTCTTTAGGAACCGATAGTACTTGCATGTAAACAATGAAGTTTATTATTATTGTTTGAGATTAAATATTCTGATTCCCAACGGTCATTATAAACTCGATGTTCGTTCGTTATTTTTCGTTTCTGTGAAGAAGTATTTCACGGAGTATTTCACTTAAAAAGGCTTTAGAGTTGCTGGGTACTGAAACGCACTAGCACTAGAACAAAACTGCCTGTCCAGCTTGATTCAACCTTCTTATGGGTGTTTCAGTTTATTGTTGCATAACTTTAAGATTCGATAGACCTTTTAAAATTAATGCATAAAGTCTATAAAAACATGGGTCGAAAAATGCGTGGCTTCCGAAATACAGGGTGTTTAAATTTACTTACTAAAATAGTTTTTTTAAAATATTTCGAACAATATTTGATGTATAACAGTGAAAATTGGTATACAATGGTTTATTGGTACAACAAAACGAACCATGGGCATAGTTTTACTGTAGTCGCTAGAGGCCGCGCTCTAATGTACCTGTAGTGTATTAAAATGACCGAAATTTTTTTCTTAGTGCAATTTTTTGCTTTTTGAATAAAAAACTGATTCTTCGCACTTTTCAACATAAAAAAGTTCTCCTATGGGTTTTCGTTATAATTAGCCGTTTTTGAGATATTTCGATTTTTTCGATGCATTTTTAATTATTTATGGGAAAATAATATTTTTTTTACATTTTCGATTTGGGCATTACAAGTAATTAAGATGATCGTTTAGATTGTGTTTTTAAACACAGCAAT